TAATACCGTGTACAAATTGCACACTTTACTATAATACACATAAAAATCAAATTTAGAAATAATTACCTTTTAAAATCGTCGTCAAGGTGAGCGAGTCACACTCTTGTTAGCTAAAAAGCTTTCTCTGTAGATTAAATGTTTATTTTGACATTATCAACAATGAATTCATATTTTTCATTATGTTATTTAAATTAATCGAGGATCGAGTGCATATATCCGATCGCACTCGCCAGCAATTGTTATTGAGCGAACTTGGATGCGAGCGTTATTTGCCTCTCTCAAGATTGGAGCATGAAATATTATCCGCCTTCCTTTTCATCTCAAACAAACATATATATGTCATTATTTTTTTGGTTAGAGAAAGTATAGGTCGTAAGAAGAAGAGTTTCTTTAAATCTACATTTAAAAGAATCCTAGCTTCTAAATTCTCGCTTTCCCTATAATCATCCTAAGAAAAATTTTCATTATTCATAGCTTAAATAGTTTATTTGTACTTGAAAATTTTCTACACTTTCAATCCTAACGTATAAATTTTCAAGTAGATAAGCGTCGAAGTTCAAATCGTCTGAATTCCACGAGTTTAAAAAAAAAAAAAAAAAAGGAAATTAGATCCACATTCTGGGCTTTTCTAATTTAATAACCTATGATTTAGTGTAAAATAAATTGAGTAAAAAAATTAAGAGTTGAGGATTTGTAATTGCTTTATTAATTCATTGACTTTATAAAGTTTATTATTCATTGACTTTATATAGAGAAAGCCAGCCAGTTTATATTTGTCGGCTGTTTTTGTTTATACTGTGATTATTCGTGTAATTATCATTAATTTCCAAAGTCCTTTGACAAGAAAAAATGAATTCTTTTTTTTTTTTTTTTTCAGAAATGATATCACACTAACCTAATCTATTCGTATTATTAAATCTTCATGATTAAAAAATGGTAATTCTTCATGGCTCGTGACATTTGTTTTCCTAGGAAATTCGAACGTCCATGTCAAAATTTTGCATTATAAATAGTTATGAAAATTTCTGCCGCCATCCTTAATTTTTACACGTTTTGCTCTTTTGTTGTCAACTTATTATTTTTAGCCCCCATTTATGGTTGGGGATGGCAAAATATATCAATCAAATCTAATACCCGCAAGCTCCACCCTTAATTGGGAGGGATTAGCCGCTTAATCGGATATTTGAGTTGGGGACGGAGTGGGGATATCGTCCCGGGACGAGTATGGGGTGGGTGTGAATAACAAGGTTTTTGTCCCATTTAACTTTTTCTTTTTTTAAGAATTAATATTTCAAATGGAAAACACCACTAAATTTCATAAATGATTCGTTTGATTGTAAAAATGGAATTTAGATGAAAAAAAACGAATTCCAGAGAATTGAATTGTCTAGAATTTGTTTTGCTGGAAATTGTCAATTAAATGTGTTTAATTGATATAATTTTTCATTTGAAAAATGTTGATATTTTGGATTTTTTGGTGTTCGTTTGATTTTGTTTTTCATGAAAATTGTCAATTAAAGAGATATAATTTATTACAATTGTGGATAAAATTTGAAAGTATCAATTAAATATACCCCGTTAGTTTACCAAATATATTTCAATAATTTAACTTTCAAAAATAAATTAATTAATTAAAAATTTTAATAAATATATTATTGTCTCACTTTAATAAATGGGGAAATAAAATGAATTAAAAAAATTAAACGGGCTACCAAACGAGATAAGGGTCATGCCCCGACCCACATCAAACGGGTCATGGGATAGGTATGGAGTGGAAAATTACCCGATGGGGCGGAGTCGTTGGAGAGGTTGCCCCAACCCAAACTGACCCCGTTGCCATTCTTGTGTACGGTAATGATTGATTCCATTCAAAAGATTCATCATATTGTCATGTGCACTTCATTTGATGAAACAAGCCGATAACTTTCATTAAGGGTCCTTTTGATTGTAAAAGTGAAAAAGGTAAATCAATTCCATGAAAATTGGGAAAAAAAATCACCAAAGCCATAGGAATGCATTTTCGATGGAGTTGGCCAAAAACATGCTTTAAGTGTTTGTAATTTGAAATTCAAACTCCATTTCAATTTCTTATTTATTTAGCCAAAGTAGAAAATAAATTTCTCGAATGTGACATTTTTCATGGAATTCACTCCAATCAAACGGACCCTAAATCATCGTTATTATAGAAAATATATGTATACTTAAGGGAGAATGATTGACTTATACTTCATCGTTATTACTATCAACTATTGAATATCTTAGTTGATAAGCAAGACAATAACCAAAAACTTCGACCAATGAGCTTAATTTTCCTTCCATGAGATGCCCTTTTCTTATTTTGCTGATCCATTTTCATTTCGATAGCCTCCGTTAGAGGTTGAGATCTACCGAGTCATAACATGTCTTGTGAATGAGCTTACTCTACAATAGCAACAAGGCTTGTCAAAGCTAGGAAATAATGTGATATTTTAGAGTGGTTGAAATTGTAATACCTTCACTATCGCGTGCACAAGTTTGTTACGTTACTTGTAACCTGTAAATCATTCCCCTGAAGTGGTGAAGGGAGAGCCCCCAAATTAGTTTATTTAAATAAATAAATAAATAAAAAGGAGAAACAAAACCCTTTGAGGGTTATCCTATACTTGGAAAGAAAAGTTAAAAAGGGAATAAATATGGATTATTCTATTTGGATAGGGCTATGTAGGCCCTGTCCAAACACGGGCCTGCCATTTCAGCACCTTGGACAAACAAGGTCACGTGGCCCCTGGACAAACAGGGTCACGTGGACCTATTCGTCCAACATCGTCTAATAAATATAGATATAATTTGATTCCGCGTAAGAGTGCTGCTGCGACAGTTATAGACATGATATGTATTTGTGTGTGAGTGGTAATTATCAACCAATCAGTTTAACAAAAGAAAGAGTGGATTAAAATAAGAATTTCATAAATTATCTTAAAGGCCATTTATTACAAATCAAAGACATTATTATATATGTTTTTTTTTTCAAATGAGTTCTAGAAGCATATATTTTGAATAAAATCATAACTCTTTTACTTTGTGCCTGATCTTCTTACATCATACAAGTTATTGCAATTGGTAAATCCTAGATTCGAGGGAACCATCCATTAAGAATATTTTACATATAAAAGTCATAATTTAAGTAAACTTGTCTATGTCATGAATTTGGGCTCGTTTGGTATAACTTTTGCTTTTATTTTTGCCTCTTATAAAAGAGTTTTTGGAAGAAGCTACCTTAACTTTTTTTGAAGCTAAAATTTAAAAATACTTCCCATTTTGAAAGTGTTTTTAAAGGAATGTACATTGAACCAATTTTCTCTAAGAGCTCTTTTAGCTATCAAAATCATTTTAATAAATTAGCCAAACAAATTCAAAAGCAACTTTTTAATTTCGAAAGCTCCTTTCGATTTTTTAAAAATCATGCCAAACGAACCTTTTTAATCTTTACTTGGAATGCAGGCGGCTGCAAACTTTTTTACATGGTTACAAAATTGTCAAGATTATAGTATGAAGTTGCTATAAGTTTTATTCTTGTGAT